GAAACTCAATCTTACATCTCAATTTTCTCCATTATTGGAGTTTAAATTAATCTAATAACATCAATATATAATAATGATTTGAGTCTTTTAACAAATATTTAATAATTTTAACAAACATCAAAACAATCTCATTACACTTACTAAAATTAACTGCTGAATATACCAGAAACGTGAGTTAGTAGAAGAAAAAAAGGAAAGGCAGCCTTGTAATGTGAAGTTCAGTTGTGACCATTGGGGCATCCAATAAAGAAAGAATGCAGTGAAGAACAATCCAATCTGAATTAGAAAACGAAAATCCTACTAAGATAGAGACTCCTTTGTGCTTTAGAAGTTCACCTTTGTCTACTCCAAATCCTCCAAGGACCCTTTTAATATCTCAATCTCTTCCTTATTTATTCAAGTGCTCTACACATTATGCAATTTCATTATATGAAATCTTCACAAAACAAAGAAAAGAAACAACTTCCAGCAACAATGGATTTAAGAGGGGAAAAACATTGTCAGTACAACAAAAAGATATTTGATTCTTCATTATCATCAACTCTTTGTGCTTCATACAATTCAAGATACTACTTCTACGACAATGATTCCACACACATGGAGGAAATCATGATTTGCACAGATATAACTGACTTTCTGCCAAAGAGAGAACCTAAGAAGACCCGATGGCTAGGTTTCGTGGAGTGCTTCGAATTTTTGAAATCTCTAGTTAGCTAATGATTTCAATTTCACAACACGGTTCTCCTCTCTCATTCTTGTTATTATTTATTTTTTTTACCTTTTATCTTGTTATACAGTAATATAAGGGAACAAATGAATGGTGTGTAAATGGTTATCAATGTCTTTTAACTCAATATATTCATGTTTCCTTAGGAAGAGTATATCCTAGATGTCAAATCAGGCAAGAAATAACAAGAATCAACTCATGGAATCACATTACATTACATAGGATTCAACCTAGAACATTGGGTTTTGGAGACTGACGTGAAATTAGAATGAAATAACAAGTGACACCCGAACTAAATTACAGTAATCTCATTACTTAGGGATTCAATCTAGGACATCGGTTTTGGAGAGCCATGAAAAATTAGAAAGAAATAACAAGTGAAACCACATTATGCATGATTCAACATACATCTGGTCTTGGAGATTCACTGTATGAAATCAGGCAAGAAATAACAAGTGAAACCCAAGTTGTGAAATCATGCAAGAAATAACGGGAATGGATGGATCATGGAATCATGCTATGTAGAATTTAATCTATAGGACATTGAGTTTTTGAAACTCAGTTTCAACACTTTCTAACAGCAAAGGATTCCTGTCTTCATGCTTGTCTCTTTATTGTGCCCAACCTAAGAAAGTACAGGAGTCAACGCTCCATGTGCACATCAATTTTAGAGTTACAAGGCACATAAAAAGCAAAAACTAACCCATGAAGATATTT